AATTATAGTGTATTGACTAATTTAATGATGTCTGCACAGCTAGAATTCATTAACATGATAAATTGCTGGTGTGTTAAATCCATGAGATTAAAAAGTTGACCCCTATGAGCTCTTGTTTTTCCTTATAATACAGGACAGCACTTGCTCATGGTGGTCAGCCATAGGTGGTCATCGTTTAAGAGACACTTGTGGCATGCTTGGCTGTGCTCATAACAGCTAATTTGTATATAGAATATCGATGTAAAGTTTGTTTGTCAACTGTAAAATGTCCCAGGAAGTATGTATCTGGGTAACAATTCTTAAATAAATGTTTTTTATGGTATGGTTTATATTATTTATCTGCCTCAAAAATCCAGCATTGGTTGGGCTATAGTGTAAAGGATGCTAATTTATACTGTACCTCTGTAACTGCATTGGTGGAGCTTCCAGCAACAGCCTCATATGGAGGTGGGGGGTCCAACGGACAGAAGACCTCCACCCCTTTGATACGAGCCCCGTAGATATGAGGGAGAGGAATCACGCTGTCCCCAAGCATCCTGAAACAGTCAACCAGCAAACTACTGAGTGAGTCACCATGTCCTACAGAGCTAATGTGGCTAATCAACCCTAACAACAGGACTGCAGTCAGAATGCAGGTAAAGTGGAACAGAACATTGGGCTGTTACCGGCGAGCCAGGCGTGGTGTGTATGAGTAGAAAGTGGAGAAGTAGGAGGGGGGCGGGGCCGGGGCCACAAACTCATCCGGGTCCGGGACCTGAGCAGGCTCCTCTCTTTCTTCCACTGTGGCCCTTGGTTCGTCCTATCACAGATCAGAGAAACGTGACAGCACCCGTCATGATAAATGGTATTAAATCAGACGCACATCAGCAGGCACACAGGAATTGACTGTGTGTGCATGACGGGTGGACAGATAAGGGCAGGATGTACACACGGCTGGCTTACAGTGACATTCAGTTGCAGCTCAAAAGAAACAAAAATCTACATGGTCCTCAACGCTGAGGTTCAAGGTTTATTTCAGCTTTTAAGCCAATATATAAAAGAAGTGCTTTTCTCAGCTTCTGTTTCCAGGGTGAAACATTCATTCTGAAACTCACTGTAGCACAATGAAGCTAGTTTGTGCACCCTGCCAGGTATATGATGAGCTAATGTTGCATAGGAAGCATGATACGGATGTTATTTTCAGCCGATACAATAAGCGATAATTACCTGTTTTCATGGCCGATACCGATAAGATAACTGATATTTTTACATTTTTGTATTTTAGAAGTTCATAACCTGTAGTTACACACTTGATGATAAAAAAGGCTGAGATTTAGTGAGCAAAGACAAATGATTTAATATTCCATAGCTCTGAGCTAACCAAATCTGACTGGCACCACAGATCTGACTCTTCAAATGTTCTCCAAGTACAGCAGAAGTTCATCAAACACAAATGGACTCTGGCTTTCATAGAACATCAATCGTTATGCAAAAAAACTCAATAAATTATTATTGTCTAAAAATGTATCAGCTGTAATTTAATTATCCCAATGTTATTATTAAAGGAATAGTTCAACATTTTGGAAAATAGGCTTATTTGTTTTCATCCCGAGAGCAAGATGAGGAGATCAATAGCACTCTGATGTCTGTGCACTCCAGTCCCAGCTCGTAACTCCCCATAAAACCACAACACATAATTCAGACGAGACACTATGAAGCCTGGGAAGACTAGCAACCGCACCCACAGTGGCTAATGGGGAATAAACAATAAACCATTCTCATATGTTAAGTAGTGAGCCTTAGAGGGCTTGGAAGGTGGAGTTTTTTTACTTTGGGCAGAGCAGGCTAGCTGTTTCCCAGTGTTACAGTGTTTAGGCCAATCTAGGCTTACTACATACTGACCCCAGCTCCATACTGAACACACTCGTTCAGTTCCAGTGCCCTCCCTTACGCACTCTATGGTGCACAGTCCTGCTAATCTGGTGAGGGTCAGGGCTGTCCCACAGTAAAAGTGTTTGTGGGCTCTCTGAATGTCCTTTCTGCACACATTCCGTAAGGCCACAACTCTACAGCCTTTACTTAATGGAATAACCCACGATGCATTAGCAATTCCCTTTACTCCCATATTTTCAGTCTTCTTAATTGTATTTAGTGAGATTAATGAAACATATTTCAGTATCTGACAGCTGATTACAATCAGTGTGTTTTTCCTCAAAGTTGTGCAGTTACTCTAGGAATAAAAAGATCATCTCATATCTTAATTCTGATTAGGGAACGTCCGAGCAGTAGGCCACAGCACCGATCCAGTGTAAGAACGACATTAGCCTTGCTGCAGCAGAGCTGGCTGCGCTGTGATCGTACCATGCAGGGTGTTCTTGTGGTGAAGATCTGCAGGTATCTCAGGGCCGCCGCCATGAGGCACACAGCTGTGGTCAGAGCGTTCAGAGCACACAGTGCAAACAGCACTTTCTGGGAGGGAAAAAGAGAGTCAGATCAGTGAGAACAGAGCGGACAGAACTATTTTATCTGCTGTCCATATTCCAAACAGACCAAGGGCTCGATTGTTATAGAATTCTGCACTGAGAGTAGAGCATGTCTGTTTCTGGACCAATGCCAATCTGCTGCCACTGGTGATTAATCAATAAGAGCAAACTAAATACTTGCAGCAATGATGGAATGATGCTCAAACTGTAAATTAACAATTAACAATCACTCTCTAAACAGCAGATGTGTTTAAAGGGCCAGTGTGTAACATTTAGTTTATTTTAAATAAAGGAATCATTATGTTTTTGTTACCTTAGAATGAGCCTTTTATACCAACAGCAGCCACGTGTTGCATTCATTCTTAAACTATGTCTAGAAACCTATTTCAAGGTCACAATGACCTTTGAGTTAAAACTGTTACTAATTTCAACTGTGAAATATGGTCACAGTCTCCCCTTCTGTTCCTGAGTTATGGTGGTGAATAATGGACAAAAAGTCTTTCTCTAGGACATTATGATGTCACAGTGAAGTTGACCTTTGACGTTTTGGGTTAAACACATATTCACTTCATCGTTCCATCCCATTAAACATCTGTGTGAAATGTTTGGTCAAATTGGTCAAAAACGTCTTCTGTGATGTCACATTAACTTTGACCTTGATCAGGTCCTCGAATCCAAGTGGACGTGTGTGCCAAATTTGAAGAAATCCACTCAAAGTGTTCCTATGATATTACATTAACATGAATGCGACGGGCAGTCCAAAGGACAGATGGACGGACAACCATAAAACATAATGTCACAGCTGTTGCCGGTACAGAGGCATACTAACATTTTATGTGGTTACAGCAGGAACATCAGCAGATCCGTCTGCACTGATCTATGAATGATTATGGGTGATTACAGGATCTGTTGTTAACAGCTGCTTCATACCGTCCTCTATGTTCTGCATGTTAACGTAGGACAACATCAGCTTCTGCACTTATACCATGGTCTGGGTTAATACTGCAGGGTATCTGATAATTCCTGATGAAGTCCTTCAGGGAATCGTCTTCTGAACACCACAGGATGGAGACTGACACTCAAACCCCTACACTGCCCCTCTGAACTTACTCATACTTTGTATAAGCGATACTTCCCTTTTCAAGGTACTGAAGATATCTGGCTGCAGCACTCAGTACACTTTGTTAGTGAAAATCTTGATATTAATTTGGAGACGATGACATGGCTGATAGCTAGCTAGTCAAACATTCTGTCAAATTATTCAATTATTTACTGTTTGTCGTATTGTTTTGTATGCAGTGTTATTGACGGCCTCAGCAAAACACATGAAAATATAAATTATCTGATTTTTTTCTTTGGCAAGTGACCGTGGTATAACCGACGAGGTGTCCATAGTCAGGAATCAATGGAGCTCATTAATTCCTGATTATGAACACTTTGTCGGCTATTATCCCTTACATACGTGACTTCTCTAAAAACGTGTGATGATTATTAATGCGTATGTGTGTAACTATTTCAGTGTGCATGCACTATGTATCAGCATGTCAGCATACAGAGCAGTCAGCAGCGTACCTTGAGCAGGATCCTCATGGTGCTGCAGGAGTGGGCGGGGTGCAGCTCCAGCAGCTTCTCCTCGGGACATTTGGAGCTGGGGGAGAGGGAGCAACAGTAACACACATCTCCAGCCTCGCTCTGAAACAACACACACGTACCCACACACAAACACACAAAGAGGGTTAATTTTCATATGATTTGAAACATTTCTTAATTCACAAAGCCCTAGAAAGTTCAGGATCTCTTCATCAGGAGCAGCTTAAAAGCAGCTAGACACAACAACATACTGAGCTATGTGACTGTGACAAGAATACATCATGGAACTTGCTGTGGATGTTCATGGTCCCCACCGGCTTAACCCCTGACATTTATAGGATACTAGTCTAATAATTAAAATACTACTAGACAATAAAAATCTGCAGGCCTTCAGAATTTCTCCTGTTGTATATTTGGTGATGTTTTAGGAAGTGGCCTCCCTGTTATCAGATCTGCTTCCATTTCAATTTAATAAAAATGCTGTTGATGCAAACTCAACACTTCCCATAATAATTTTTGATAAATTCAGTATAATGTACATTTCCACGGCACAACACAGTCATGTCATACTCATGTCCCCTTTTTGAAAATGCTGTTTGTTTTCAAGCCCGACACTCACATTAAAGGAATGATCTGACAATGATCTTATTTCTTAATGACAGCAGGCTGAGCTACATACAGACATCAAAGACACGTTATCCATTCTGACAGAAATCATACCGACTGCGGATTCTTGGTCAGCTGTTTACATTACATTACAGTTCGTTTCTAGTATTGGTTGACAATGTAGCCTGCATGTTAAACTATTTAACATGTTAAAGACTACTGAACTTTAACAAAGCAGCATTCTGAGTACCTTTTCATTGTCATATTGCTGCAAAACTGGCCTCAAAAATTCACTATATTGTCTGTGAATTTCTCCCCTCTAAAAATCGGTATCGTCTCAAAAAAAAAAAACAATAACAGTCGGACTCTACTATTGATGACGATGATTGATGCTCACAACCCAAAACAACAACTTTGTGTGGTAATTTATTTAATTTTATGTATTCACTTTGTGGGAATTAATGAGCAGGTTGCGATGTCGGAGAAAAGGAAACCTTCAGACCTTTTTATATGCAGGAAAAAGTGGAGGCAAACAGCTCTGGTGGGGGACTGTTGTGTGGATTCAACAATAATAGTAATAATAATAGTAATAATAATAATAATACTTAGTGATGGGATGATATGTAAGGGTTAATGCCCAATTAGGTGTTCATTATCAGGAATAATGGATTACGTGTCAATGCAATAAATATGAGTTTCATAACAAAATGGTAGGTAAAGTGATTCCAGTATGTTTTAGGGCCATTTTAAAAGTATTTTGTATATTTTCCCATTATTATTATTATTATTATTATTATTAATAATAATAATAATAATAATAATAATAATTTCCCAAAATACAGTTCTGAC